TAGGATAGGAGCTTTTAGCTCGGATACCAAATGATATAGGATTGGAATCCACCAAATCTTTTTGATCACAAGATGTCAAGAGTTGATCGAGACAAGCCTTGTTGCGGAAGATGGACGTTGATAGAGATGGAGATGGAGTTTGCGATTGATTTCACAATCACACACGAACAATAAGGCTTGATTCCTCAAGCTATATGATCCGCAAATCAGTAGAAAACAAGTGATTCCATACTTAAATTCTAAAGACAAGAACACGAACACAAAGACACAACTTTGTAGGGAAAACACAATGTTTATTTATTCAATGATAAAAGGTGATTTACAATGAACTAAGAGATTAGCTTTTATAGGCTCATATGCAACGATCTAATAGAGCTAATACAAGAAAAGAATCGTGAAATTTTAACAATATGGCCGTTGGAGCTTTGATGACAAAATCAGGCCAAAAAGGAAAGTTTGAAGGCTCCTTGAACCTAGACAACATGGGGAGGTCTAGGTGCGCCTTTGGGAGTCTTTGGATGCTTTCCATGGTCTTAATTTTGTGAACACGAACACAAAGACAAACTTAATTTTTGATCACAAGATGTCAACAGCTGTTGTGCGAACTCCTTTATTGCTTCTAGTGTGAATGCGTCAAAATAAGGTAAGTTGAGATGCAAGAGGATTCGCCTAATCCTCTGAGTGTTAGAGCATTGTAGGGCCTTTAGGGAAGCTTCTAGATCATCATAAAGGTCTTTTGGTCGTCACAAATATGTTTGATCTTGACCAAACTCGTGAGACTCCAAATAAGGCAAGCCGAGAAACCATTGGTTAAGAAATTGAATAACTTAAAAAAAAACCTGTCTTCGTATGATATCAATTCTCCTGAAATCTTTGATGAATCTAGATTCCATAACAAGTTGGTTCACAGTTTATTTCCTCCTGGTTAGGTCGTAAATCTCCAATTAAGCCGCATATGTCCAAATCGGGTAAGTGCAGAAACACTCGATTTGCAAACTGAATATCTCATTCGTCATAACTCCGATTGGGTTTATTAAAAATTTTGGCGAGCTGTAGGTGAGCTGAAAATATTTCCAATGTGGTTTCATGCTCTAAATATTCGTGGTTGATTTTATATGCTCCTAGAAAAGCATATGCGTCCTTGTAGACTCCTATGCGGTTTGTGTAGCACGCTTGATGGAGCTCCATTTCAGCTACTGGTACGATGACCTCATCATGAGCTCATGACCGGTAAAGTATATGAGAATGGATAATCTCATCAAGTCTCCAGAAAAAACAAACAGTTCAAATGTTTCGGTCCAGTTATGATCTCGTCAAGTATATGAGAATGGATAATCTCGTCAAGTCCTGAAAAAAATAAATGGTTCAAATGCTCAGTCAAGTAAATGAGAATGGATAATTTCATCAAGTCCCAAGGAAAAAAACAAACGGTGCAAATGCCTCGATCCGGTTATGATCAAATGTCTCGATCCGGTTATGAGCTCATGATTGTCAAGTATTTGAGAATGGATCATCTCATCATGTCCGGGGAAAAAAAACGGTTCAAATATTTTGGTCCGGTAATGAGCTCATAATCAGCGAAGTATATGAGAATGAATTATCTCGTCAAGTCCCCAGGAAAGAAAATGGTTCAAATGCCTCGGTACAGTTATGAGCTTATGATCGGTCAAGTAGACGAGAGTGGATTATCTCGTCAAGTCTCCAGGAGAGAACAAACGGTTCAAATACCTCAGTGCGGTTATGAGCTCATGATCAGACAAGTAGATGAGAATAGATTATCTCGTCAAGTCTCCGAGAAAAAACGGTTCAAATGCCTCAGTCCGGTTATGAGCTCATGATCGGTCAAGTATATAAGAATGGATTATCTCGTCAAGTCCCCGGAAAAAACAACAGTCCGGTTATGAGCTTATGATCAGTCAAGTATATGAGAATGGATAATCTCGCCAAGTCCCCGGGAAAAAACAGTTCAAATGCCTCGATCCGGTTATGAGCTCATGATCGGTCAAGTAAATGAGAATGTATTATCTCGGCAAGTCCGCGGAAAAAAAAATGGTTCAAACGCCTCGGTCCGGTTATGAGCTCATGATCGGTTAAGTATATGAGAATGGATTATCTCGTCAAMTCCCCYYGAAAAAACCGGTTCAAATGCCTCGGTCTGGTTATGAGCTCAGATATGTCAAATATATGAGAATAGATTATCTCTTCAAGTCTCCAGAAAAAAAAATGGTTCAAATGCCTCGGTCCAGTTATGAGTTCATAATCAATCAAGTGTACGAAAATGGAGTATCTCGTCAAATCTCCGAAAAAATAACTGATTCAATTGCCTTGGTCTAGTTAGGACCAACTTCCAAATAATAACCTCTTGAACCATGCCATACCAGAAGGGGAACTATCCTTTTTGTAGTAACAATCATAGTTATATTTGATGAGTCCAGCTCGTGGTCTTGTCCATTTCGAGTTGGTAATGCACGTCGAGCTCGATTGTGAATCCCTTGATATTGCTGTCCTCTTTGATCACAGAAGATCCATTCGCGTACTTTTAATTTTGCATCTAAGATCACTTATTTTCAATGAATACTCTATTTTTGGTATAGTATAGAAGATTTCTACTTTAGTTTTCAATGAATAATCTATTTTTGGTATAGCACAGAAGATCCATTGGCGTGCTTTTAGTTTTGCATCTAAGATCACTTGTTTTCAATGAATACTCTATTTTTGGTATAGTATAGAAGATTTCTAGTAGAATAGTTTGTGCAATTAGATCTTGATTCCATGTTCGTGTATTATCCTTGACGAGATCTTGGACCTTTTAAATATATGTATCACTACCAAATCAAATGCCTCGTAGAGATCTTGGTGGATGTGTTGCTAACCATGGATTAGCTAGAGCGTTAACTTCCGAACCATCTCCAATCACACATCAGATAAATGATTATTTAAAACCTTGACCTGCTTCCATTAAATTCCTTGTCGGAATGCAACAAGACTAGTTGGTTAAGAG